ACGGCCATGTACTGAGAATGCACTTTGTTTTCGGTTGCAATTAATTGCACATGAACATTTTTTGACTTAAGATATTTCAACTACTTGTAATTAAATTAATAAAAAAAATATTTTAAAAAAGTAATCGTCGACTTCAAATATCTGAAAAGAATAAAATATTTTTACAGTGCCTAAAACGGTTCGACTTCTGAATGTGAAATTAATTGAGTCTTTTTAGTTGCTTTAATTTTTTTATAAGTTATTTTTTTATCCTTTTGTAGTGGGTTGATCCTTTCCAAAATTAATGTCCTAAATAGTAGCATTATAAACTTTAAACCCTACTTTGCCACCTTTGGGGGTGGAATTTGGTTTCTAAATTTATATGGGACCGCCCCTAAAGTATAACGTATTTCACAATTGACAAAGATATCGCGTAACATATATCCAAAAAGATAACCTCCTTTTTTGAAGTCAGCTAATTAATTATACATATATAAACTTTTTGAAAACAGACAACATTAACAATGCTGGGATAAAAGATTAAAGACCTATGTATCGTTTTCAGTTGAAAGCGTGAGCATCCCGTAACAAGATCCTAAACATTGGGAACATTTTGGAACGAACATAATCGCAACCAACTTAATCTAAATGTGATATTCAGCTAACATATGTACCGAGAGACGTGGCGCTAGCCAGCGATATGTCGACTGATATAATCCACTCGATATGAATTTATTTGCAGCGAAATCATACGCGTTACCGTTACCTTCGTTTTAGTGCAGTGGTTCTTAACCTTTTAGTGTTAAAGACCATTTGACCAAATTTTGGTTTACCATGGACCACTCACTTTTAGAAATAATATAAATTATGGTAAGCTTTATTTTTAAGTTTGTCCTAAAAATAAAACACCAAAACGTAAGAGTGACATCACTGTACTTCTCTTATTTTAATGTAAAGTTAATATTTTGTATCCTAAACAGTGCCGTTAGTATTCGTAAACCGACCCTTGTCTTCAAAAATGTTTTACACTCTTTTACATTTGAGAGAACTGCATGATGATTTCGCGGACCACTTTGGGTGCATTCAGGGACCACCAGTGGTCCACGTAAAATCGGTTAAGAACCACTGTTTCAGAGTACAAATAAAGAGACAAATGTTGGGTACATTTTATAATATTCATAACGTTCCTGAGGAATTTGGACCCTCAAAATATTATTTTCATAGAATCCTTCGGTTTACTTTATATAGCAGTTGAAAAAAAAACTCTAATAGTCAAGAGGAAGGATGCAATTATGTACACGTTTTCAAACATGCTAATACAAAGGATACCTTTATTTAATAACACTTAAACGCCATTATGCAAAACATTGACGATTGATTGATTGAATAGGTTTTTATCGAACTATTGCTGTCTCAATCTGCTTCATCGACCGAGCTTGGCTACCGAGAGAGACAGCTGCAGCTCGGATTGATTATACCTATGAAAATCGACAATATCATCATTTTGTATTCCCCTGTTTCCTCCTCCAAAACTGGACCGAGTTTAATTCTTTTTACAAAACTAATATGTGAGGATTGTGTAAATGTCTGTATTTTTGTTTCTTTTACAGTATATGTTCATTAAATTTGTTTGCTAGATGTCTGGTAACAGCGGTATATAGTTGTTCATTTTCAAAAAGTTACTAGTTTGCAAAATAATTAATTTATGAAAAAATTAATAAAACAGGGACGTGGCAATGGCAAACACAGGTTGTATCGTAAAAAAATTGCCCTAGTGCCATCCAGGGAGAAAACAGAAGAGTACGTTTGAATGGACTAAACGCCGCCCGGATATCCTCTTAAACTACCAAAGATACTTCACTAGACGTAAGGTACAGGCTACATGTTACTTACTACTCTAAATATAAACAATCGTAGATATACACATCAGCTATTAATTGAAATCTAAATTGAACACGAGAAAAACTTGGGAACACGGGTTTACATACAACTCTACATGTCACCAGCGCAGCACTCTACAATAATTGAAGACTAAAATGTTATTATTACGAGAATATGCTAAATCAATATATTACAATATACATAAGGTGTATATATAAAAGTATAATTTACGTAAATATTTACTTGTATTTTTTAATTTTCAGTTATCTCTAAACTACCCACTGTTGAGGTAAATAATCCTTGGTCTCTCATCGATTTTGAGTTTAGTCGCGAAGATCGAGCCTGAACGTTTCTAAAAGTTTCTTACGCCCACACTATTCATTTATTCAACGCTCGCTCGATAAGAATTTGTCTATATTTTGATAGAATTTAAGTAAGAAAGTTACCCGAGTATTGTACCTAATACAGATAAAATGAGTAATTTTAGGTAACCATAACCAGACCTTTTATTCAAAACTAGTATATGAAATCGCTACAGGAGACAATCTCAAATGGCACTCATTGAATTGTTGTTAATATTGTGTATTTAAGTTGTCATCGAATCCAGTGGGCTTTAATTAATTAATAATTTTAATAAAAATTTGATGAATGTAATTATCTCAAAACAACTTATAATTTTAAGTAAACTAATATATTTTTAAGCAAACTAATATTATCATAATAAAAGTTTTTTTTAAAAGGTAAACTGAAAAACTGTACATTGTAACCCAGACCCTGAGCAAGTCCAACTATTGTGGAGCGCACGCACTCTTAACAATAAAATCGAAGCTACATTTAATTTATTAACACTCGCGTAGCACAATTACATCACAGTTTATTTTAATATTGACGAACAAACAAATCGCATTAGAAATGAACAATGTGCCAGCAAATTGTGATTTTTGTTCTTTTCACATTGTAAAATACCTTTATTAATAGGATATAAAGGTGAAAATGCAATAATTTTGTACAGTTTCAGTGACATGCAAACCTCAAAAGAATATCACAAAATTCTCCGGTATCACACCGAACCGGGCACTTGATATATTTCGATTGACTCAATATAACATTTAAGTTAACTACGAATGTGTTTTATCTTTTAGGAAGCTCACAATATCAATAACGTATATTATAAATTGTTTAATATTGCAATACAAACAACTACCTACATTAAGAGCACAATGGGGAGGAAATAATTTATGACCAAGGTTAATCTTTTACGGTATTATGATTATCATATCATATCATAACACTGTTCATGAAGTTCACTTCTTTACAAAAACCATCTATTTCATTATTTTAATCTACATCGATGACAGATTTCAATCAACTGTCAATGCCTGTTACATTAATGACAAATAATAGAAGTCTGTCATTAATAGCAGTTGTTACAAAATATTACAAATGCGTGGGTAGTTGACACTGTCGTTGATACATTAGATTAGAAAACGTATGTAATTTTAATTTGCTACCGTTCTTATACTGTTACTGTTTTATTTTTAATAATATTTTATCACTAAAAAAATACTAATGAAATGTGCATTTCTTTTTGGTCCTGAACTCGTATAATTATACATTTACTAGTGTTAAGTAGAAATTATCCAATATAATAAATATTATTATGTCAATTTCTTCACAAGACGCTGATGCGTCACATTGCGAAGATTTTGGGAGATTTTAAGGACAGCTCAAGTCAGCGGACAGTCGATGATGGTATCAAGTTCTTAAGACGCCTAAGCTAACAAAATAACTTGAGGTTTATATTAACATCGAAGCAATTGTTTCGTCATTTTCTCTAATAGTTTACATGCATACTTAATACAAAAACCGCATCACTTTTACGTTTCACTATCCACTTGAAAGTTCTACTTAAGTATGTCAAGTTCCCGTCAAAACTCCCAAGATGTATATTTGAATACAAAGAAAGCTAGGATGTTATTTACAGGCTATTAAATTTCTACGGATTAATTTTGATAGTTCATGAAATTATATCAATTGACATGTCAACTAGCCCGTAAAATTTAAACTACCGTTACACAAATGCAATTAATTCTTTCACTTGCGCATTGCAAGTCACTTAGTGAGATAAGGTGCTGGTATAAAAGTAAAAAAATGAGACAATGAGAGTTATTATACATTTACTAAATAAGCTCAATTCAACTTACGAATAAAATTTGTTAGTTATCTCACGCCTAGTGAGGAGACCCAAAGACTGTCTGATGAGCAATAAACGGAAGGAGTTTAAAAAAAATTGTGACTTCACTTGGATCTTTGTTGGTCAGTTACTGATGACAGCTGATCCACTGAATTTAGTATTTGAATAAACATTGAGAACATTCATTAAATACTATCTGTTTTGTCAGTAGATTCTTCACATTAAGCGTATGGACTGAATATGCCGTCGTACTATTTCCAAGAATTGATTGGTCCTTTAAAAAATGTATTTTTTGTACGTACATTAGGAACAGATTTACAAATACTAGGTAATTTCGATGGTTACAGGCATTTAAGCTCCGTTATTTTAAATGTGAAACTAAACTTAACATGGAAGAATTTTCATGGATTTTATCGCGTATATTAAGTTATTTTATATTTCTTATTATATCCTTATTTCAATAGAGAAGATGGCTGCGTGCTACCATCTGCTTGGCATCCTATAATTAATAAAATAAAATCCCAACCTCAGCATACAACTGCAAGACTTCAAGATACTATAAGCTCGTTCTGTGTAGATTGGACCAAAAATTTATAATTTTAAACTGAAGGTAACCGTGGTTAACTATGAAATTGAGACGTCGAACACCTCAGTTCCCACGTGAGCATGGGTGCTGTAAAGTGCTAGAAACGTCAAAAATATAAACTAAGTTAACATACGCGATAAAATCCGTAAAAGTAAGTTTCACTTAAATTTAGTGTTCGCGTAAACATAAGAAATCATTAAAGAAGAAGTGTATACTGTTTATAGAAATAAATATATAAAAGGAATGAACCCCAATAACAATCGATAAGTGCAATGATCAAAGACAGTCAGTATTGGAGGCGGTGTAGCCATTCCACAAGAGTCCACAACTGTCACAACGGTGCTACGTAACCACAATGGATCACCTGTCGGCAGCTGATTCGGGATCTGCTGGGTTGGTGGATTGTTCGGTGGATTGTTCGGCGAGCGTTTCGGCGAGCGGCTCGTCAGCTCGCGGCATGGCGCTGACGATGTCTGCGATGACGTCAGGCGCCATGGAGCTCATGGCGGTCAACAAGTTGTTCGTGAGCTCCGCCGTCGAAGCCTCGTCGATTGGCTTCGCTTCGAACTCGTTACCCAAGTTCATGCCTTGCATGGACTGCTCCAAGCCGCTTTGGCGCTTAGAATCTGCAAGATTATACCACTTTATAATTTCTATTTATTTATTTACATACCGTTGAAATATTAAAAAAACTTTAATATACAATATTAAAAAAACTTTAATAAAAAAAAAACATGTGTGCGGTTCACACGCGGTAGAAGTGAAACCTTCACAAATATGCTTTGAATAGCGCCATCTACTCCATTCTATAGGTCAAGTCACTTTATCGAACAACAATTTATTGACTCTTAAGGTAGTACATAATATAGACTATTTAAACTCATTCAAGGCGGCTCAAAAAAAATTTTTTTTTTTCATTTTATGTGGTTTTATTACCTCTTACTGACACTAGCCGATGCTAAAGCAAAGTAAAGCGGGGTCTTTGACAATCCTCTTACTCCCCAGACAATGCAGAGGTAATAAAATCACATACAATTTAAATACAATTATTTTATTAATAAAATAAAAAAAAATATTGTTCGAATTTTTAAATATTGTATATAATAAGTTATTTTGTGATTAAGAGTGAAGTTTTATTAAAAATACTGGTGATTTCCTATTTACCAGAAATATGGCTGGAAATAGTAAGTGAATTTGTTTCTTTTCTATTCAGTATAGTATGGAATATTTTCCACATTACTGAAAGATTTCTAATTACACTTTGAGTAATGAAATTCGTTTTTGTATTAATATTATCGGTATTATTGAAATATGACTTTTTATTTTTTAACTTAAAACACTTTTAATAATAGTATTTAGTCTACTATTTTAAATGTACTAAGTATAATAAGCAGTGTTTTGAAATGTAGTTGAAGGGAAGAGAAAACATCGAGAAGGGTTTCCAGTTACATACTATTTCTAGTGCATCGTAATTTGTTTCACTTAAGTAATGACTTTTTTTAAAGGTGAGGTTCGACCATGGTCACCGAACTTATTGAGTGACAGTGTGAGACAATTTGGTTCGCGAAATAGAAAGCCATGTGATGATGAAGACGATGTTGATGCGAAAAAAGTCAAATCTAGAGAAAATAAACAGATACAGGTATCGTCACAGTCCAAAGTGAATGTCCATTCAGGATGCAAATGTATATAAATGCAACATTTTCCATTCTAATGAGTATAAATGTGACGAATCACAATTACCCGAATAAAATTTTTAAAACAGGGAACCAACTCACCACCGAAACAAAGCGTTTTCTCAACTGATCGCTTACGAATTAAAACTCATTCCATTGGAAAAAAAAATTATAAGTGTTGCTTTTCATTTCATATACACCCACGTACCTACTTATTCGTCGTTACACCATTATGCGACAATCACCGATGAACTACAGAATACTGATTACAAATAATAATCATATTAACGCAGCAAAATGTTTAACTATCAACTATGAAATCGAGATTGCTCATAGCATGTACCTATAACTGTTTTTTTAATTCATTAAAATAAAATAGCTAAAATAAATAATAAATAAATTTAATCAAAATGTTTTCAATGTTGATAGCCTCTGGAAGATACCGTTCGGCGTTTTCCACGCCTGAGGAGTTTTGTTATTTTTCTAAAAGCATTATTTAGTGACGGTGACTATAATGCTGTTGTATGTATGTAAAACATGCACACATCAAAAGTATATACCTTTAGAATAGAGATTGGCCAAGTTATTCAAAAATATAATTTACGCCGATCGGCGTCATCCACCTAAGAATGACAATTTAAATAATGCTGTTGTGCGTGTACCGCAACGAATGGGTTAATATAATATTTGTTAATTTTTTAAATGTTTTTTCAGCAGTTTATAGTTATATTAAATATCTTAAAGCGCCGCAAAAAAGGGGAATAATTTAAATGCTATAGATGTATATGTTTGTCTCTTTTTAGTGTCGCTTTGTCGTTTCATCTAGTTCTAAATCACAACGATTGTAAAGAAGTTTTCACTTCTAAAAAACTAAAACTAATAACTTAAATTGTCATAATCCTACTCCCCGTGGTGTCGTGCCAAGAACGCTTGCGGTATGGCTATACTTAGGCTTCGAGCGAGAAAAGAACCAGCCCTCTTATCAGCAGCAGCAACGATCAGTCGCGAATACAGTTACTATAGGAACTTCACCGCACGTGGACCCCAAGGACCGATAGTCTTTATAGCAAGTAATGGCACTAATATGTAGTTGTCTCTCAGAGACCGATATTTGACTTCTTATTTATACATCCTGTGTGCCAGCTGTTGTTACGAATAAAATGTTTTGTTGAATCTTCATTGACTTAAGTTTGACAGTTGGTACTTTGATTTTAAATTAAATAACAAGTCACAAATTATGATACTCAGTAGAATTCATTTAAATAGGATCGAAAAACTTTAATTTTATTTATATGTATAGATAGATATACATATAAATAAAATTGAAGTTTTCATGCTGAGTCTGTCTGTCCAGGCTAATCTTTGAGATGGTTGACGCGATTGTGATAAAACTTTACGAACACTGTAGGAGGGATCTAGGCCATACTTCATCCGAAAAACTTGAAGAATTGTTTTCGAAAAAGCGAAAACTTGATAATTTTTTTTTAATTATCTTAAATCGAAATAACGCCACATTATGATCCAGGCGAAGCCGGGACGGGTGGCCGTAAACAATAATAAAAATAAAATAAAAATTGGTAAATCCAATTGGGCATGCCTTAAGCGCATTAAAAAAATTACGTATAACATGATTATACGGAACTTTTTAAAGTAGTTTAAATACATTTCGACAGCACTATCGGCTTCAACACCCTCGAAAACCATGAAAATGACACCCATGATGAAAAACGTGGTACCTACTTCAGTCGCCATCTTGGATTTACATTTCGACAGCACTATCGGCTTCAACACCCTCGAAAACCATGAAAATGACACCCATGATGAAAAAATTGATACTACTTACTTTTAGTACGTACTACTATTATTTATTCTGTGCTTTTAAAATATTGTAATAAAAAACCTCTTATTATTATTATTATAATCAAGTATTTAAGAAATTTGGTTTTTTGAATATTGTGTATTTATACAGCGATCTTTTTGAGCCGCTGCAAACAACCGAAACAATATCCACTCCCGACGGCGATTGACGCCGAACTGAATGTGAATAAACTACTTTGTGGCTGTAGTTCCCCATTTACAGAAATTATTTACATACAAGGCTACCAAATCAACGAAAATTTCGCCATTTTGGAGCCGAAAAAAATTAATTATAGCTAAACAAAACAAAATTACACGGCCATTTACATTCAGTGGCTTCCTACATGATAGTTGAAGAGATTAAAAAATAGATTGAGTTAAACAATTGATATTTTCAAAAGTTATCGTGTTTACAAGCCTTGAGTACATGATAAATCCACACCATAAGCCACTAAAACCCCTTTTTTAATTAAAAATAGCAATTAATCGATTTAAAAAAAATATTAATAAGTTCAACAATCATTTATCTTTCTAACAATGTGCTTTTTATATCATTTATATGCATAATATGATGGCTAGATACGATTTTATTCGATAAAACGTTGGAATCTTAATTTTTAGGCGATAGTAGAACATACCTTGCGCTTTCGCTTAAGGCATGCAATATCTAAAATTATTTATATAATATATAGAAACTACTCGACATATATCTGAAAATGAAAAATTGTGTTGATGCATAAACATTACGTTACACACAAGTACCGTCCAGTTGTAACTCAAAAAAGCGTTAAATCCTCCACGGAGACAATCTGTGAGGGAGGCCATGTTCAACAGTGTTCTTTTATAGGCTCTCATAGATGGATGGATGGATGGAACCCACGTTTAACTTACGCTCTCTCAGTTATCACTACTACGTTACACCTTATTTCAGCCTTTCTTTATAGAATAAGGGTGACAAACAAGCACACATTCCACCTGATGGTAAGTGGATGTGGCCCATAGACATCTACATCCGTCCTCGATTAAAAATCAAAATCCAGATGCTTGTTACTCCTGAGGACTAAGATGGAATTCCACGTTTTCACCATAATATAGCTGCAGCATAGCTTTATCACGTAAAACGATAAATCGATAAATATAAGATAACGATAATATCGATAAATTCTCAAAAATTCTACTTACCATGATCTTCGAAGTTTTCCATACCGGACTGTGTATGGTATAGGTTTAGAAGAGTCCAATTTTCCATCTTTATCCTATATAATATTTACCTTCGGCGTCGGCGCGGTCGCCGTAGGCCCAGAAGGGTGTGAAATCCTGTTGCTGGAAGGGGCTTTGCTCAGTGGCGGGGGCGAAAGGGTCAGCGGGGTTCGCGAAAGCGTCCTCGAAATTTGCCCACTCCGTGCCGTCCGTCGCGTTGTCTTCTGCCGCGTCCCACGACGCGTTAAATCCTCCACGGAGGCAATCTGTGAGAGAGGCAATGTTCAACAGTGCTCTTTTTTATAGACTCTAATGGATGGATGGATGGAACTCACGTTTAACTTACGCTCTCTCAGTTATCCCTACTACGTTACACTTCATTTCAGCCTTTCTTTATAGAATAAGGGTGACAAATAAGCACACATTCCACCTGATGGTAAGTGGATGTGGCCCATAGACATCTACATCTGTACTCGATTAAGAATCAAAATGCAGATGCGCTGTCACCCTTGAGGACTAGGATGGAATGCCTCAGCTTCAGTAATAAGGGTCTCTGGTTCTTTACACACACCATAAGAAATATAGTAGTATAAAGCTGCTATTTTACGCTGGTATTTTGTGAAAGCGTAGTCCTACCGCGGTCGTGCCGACCCATTCGTGTTACAGAAGTTACGTAGTGGAGCCACGCTACAGTTATATAACTGTAGTGTGGCTCCACTACGTAAAAACCTGTATCGACCCATTTTCATGTACTAATGATTTTTTTTTAATTATTGTAGGTCGATGAAAACCATGAGGCTATCTTTGGTTGTTTTTTTTTTATGAATTATTTATTAGAATAAACAAACAATGACAAATTTACATTAGGTAGCAGGACATACAAGTAATATTTTCATACATTTGACACCAACACCATTTATCACAATATATAGATACCAGCTCGTCAGGCAGACGTTGTTCTGCCCTTTCCAACGACCCTTCCTATAAAAATCATTAAATACGCAATACAAAATTTTGAGGGTCATTTATCGGGATAAAAAATATCCTAGCAAAATTTCATTGAAATCAGTTCAGTAGTTTAAGAGTCCATCGCGGGCAAACAACGTGACACGTAATTTTTATATATAAAGATATATCATTTTAACGTATCGTGGATAGATAGCGTTATCGTGATCTAATCTAATGTAGTAGAAATTAATCTAACTTTGCTAATATTTTTTTGAAGATGCGATGCGTATTGTGTGAATTTACAATCCCGTACACGGCTGAAACCAGGGGCGTAGCTACCGCTGTATCAGCCGTATCAACGATACGGGGCCCCCGGGCTACAGGGGCCCCGAACGTGTGTAAGTAAAAATTCCAAGGACTTCTATGGGTCATGAAAGGCTATCACTATTGTCTATAGAAGCAAATAATTTAGTAAAACTGAAATCGTCTTCAGCTATGAATGCCGCTGAATCGTCTTCAGCTATGTTCGCCGAACAATAGGCAAGAAAAGTGTATATTTGATTTGAATTGTTTGGCTAGCTTAGTTCCTAGGAGTAATATTAATTGTAAGTAATAACTTAAAATCAATATATAATTATTTTAATTCAATGCAAGCGTCTTTGTTCCTGCTATCAAATCTTTGCTCTTCATTGGGGCCCCAAAACATATTTTGATACAGGGCCCATCTAAGGCACGCTACGCCACTGGCTGAAACGTTTGCTTTGGTTTGATTTGATTTGTCTGCAGATGTTCATGAACTGCAGAGACCACTTACTATTGGGTGAACTCGGTAGCTGTAATGTTGTAAAACAAATAATACCAAGCTCACCGGAAACCTCTTGGAAATATTCATTGATGCGAGCGAGATTTGGCTCTTCCTGAGCCCCTTCCTGTGCGTCGTTACCTGCATCTGCATCTATATCTGCTTCCGCTTCATTGTTTTCATCCCAAGTGCTGCGCAGATCGAATGGTAAAATATATATTTATATATCATAATTTGAGCTACATTCAAAACCTTTGGTTGAGTTTAATACTCACTCGTCATCGAACCGCTGATCCGCTAGCTCCAGGAAACTATTTTTGCTGTTTGGTGACTGAAAATGTAAATAAAACGTAAGTATATGTTAAAAATATCCATAATAATAATGTCTTATAATAATAAGTAATATTAATAATAATATAATTGATACGTAATATATAATGGAAATAGATTCTTTGGGTCACCATAATGATAAAGGATAATTACTATAAATAAAAAGACCCAAAAAATTCACAAATGTCATCAGAAAAAAATCACAACTGCTCCAAAAGTTTATTAAAAAACGAAATAAATTAATTATTTAAAAATATATTAATTCCTACATTCAGATATTTAACGTTATTATATATAAAAGGTTATGATTTCTTTTAATTGTAATATATATACTACTAGACGTGCTCTGCGGCCTTAATACATTGCGCACTAAGTTACTCTAACTTCCGTAACTTCTAGTCCACGGCGAGCGGGCGAGAAAAGTGGATCTTTGTTTTAAACCGCAAACGCTGTTTTCGACAATATGATACTAATTTTGATTAATGTGACTAAGAAAACCCTGTCATTATTTATGTGCGCACTTTGTCAACATGATTTGAAGTTTATTTCAGATAAGTATTAAATGAAACTAATTCATACTTCTTCTTATAAAATCCATAAAAATTAGTTTCATTTAATGTGTAGTCTTCGCGTAAATATAAGAAATCATTATCAGATAAGTATGTCACTTAATACCGTATTTGCCTAAATACAATAACTCTCGTAAATGAAAATATAACTGCTTGGTATATTGACCGTGCCAGCTATCCACCCGCGCGATCTATGACAAAGTTTTTGTTCTGAATTGCCGGCCTAGCCGTATATAAAGGGTTACTACAACAGCTTCCTGACCGGGCGTGATAGTGTGGCCGAAAATGAACAGGTCTTGAGATATACGGATTTTAAAGATTTTCCAATAATCACCCAGAGTTTCATATTAAATCTATACAAATAAATAAGATTGAAGTGTCTGTTTGTAATGTCAAAATTAAAGCTTTTTACTAAATGCATATGAAAGTATATTATACGTTACTTATAACCAAAATACAATTTTTAAAATTTTTGTCTGTCTGTCTGTTTGTAGAAGTCTAGTGGCGTCAGATCAGGACTTCGTGCAGGCCATGGAATTTGCCCTCCCAATCCACCTGTTTGGGTATTGGCTATTTAGCCACTCTCGTACAGATAACCGGAAGTGAGCTGGACAGCCGTCATGCTGATAAATCAAATTACTTTTAATTTCTTCTGGAACATCTACTAAGTCTTTGGACTATAATAAAATATTTTACTCACGTTTTCATCGCAGGAGAGCTGCACCGCAGTGATTGACTCGTTGACACCGGACGCCTCGGAGTACTGAAAAATTCAAATGAAGTCTTGAAAGTTATGTTTAATAAAATTAATATATTTTTACGACAGTTGCGTGTAGCTTAACGTTGCACGAGAATATTCCTAAAAATAAGGATCAATGCCCTCTGTCACTGTGTGGGCGTAAGAATAAACATCGCTCGAAATAATCGATGTAAGCAAAACGCAACCTTATATCTACGACGAAAATGCCTTTTCTCCCTTGGACATATTGTTAATCGGGTGCGTTTTAGCACTTTCTAATTGAAAGAGACTTAAAGAACCTTTTTATTAGGTACAAAAGCGGGCGTCGGCGAGCGGAAGAATCAATTATTTCGGGAACGCGACAATTAACTGCGCTCCGGGAAGCGACTACGAGGAATAGACCTACGACATGTGCTATTATTAACGACCTCTGAAGAAGCTTAACGATTTCGCACGTAGACTTGCTGTATGTGTGGAAGAATACATCAATAGATGAGAGGATTAGAAATATCTCATCCGAATCGGCATTTTACTCACCCCGCATGTAACCATATAATTAATCATGTTTGACTTTTCGGAAATCTATAAATTAAAGATGAAACAGAAACTTTTTTATTCAATATAGATTATAAATAAATACTTATTGAAAATCACTCTTTTGTTTAATTACCACTGGTTCAACAAAAAAAAACTTGGTTCTGGGAAGAATTTCCCAGAACCAAGTTTTTTGAAATCTGTATTTGACATCATCTTAGAAATTCATAATGCTCTAAATGAGGGAAGATGTGCTGTAGCTATTTTTATGGACATGTCCAAAGCATACGATCGCGTTTTGCATGGTCCCTTGCTAGAAAAGCTATATTCTCTAGGAATACGAGGGAAACCGCACGAGTGGCTCTCTTCTTATCTTGCGAATAGAAAACAGTACGTACAGATATCCCATTTAAATGAAAATAGAAGAATAATAAATGAAATAAACTCATACACTACCACAGTAAAAGGATCTATACCACAGGGTAGCGTCCTAGGATGCTTGCTGTTCTCTACATATATTAACGAACTCCCTTCAGTAATACCACATAGAGTCGTTTTGTTTGCAGACGACGCGACAGTTATAATTACTTGTGAACAAAAAAATCTCACTAGTTTACAGGAAAATATAGCTTACTGCCTTAGCAAAATTGTGGATGAATTGGACGTTTTGGGTTTATTGTTAAATTTTGAAAAGACAAAATTAATGCAGTTTCGCCCATATCAGAGACTAGAAGTCCCACTCGCTATATCTTACCAAGGTATAAATATTGAGGAAGTTCGCACGTTTTCGCTCCTAGGGATAACAATAGACTCAACTTTTTCATGGAAAAAGCATATAGAGAGCGTAGTAAGTAAGTTGAGCAGTTTTTGCTATGCCTTGCGCGAGCTGCGTAAAGACACAAACGAGCAGTGTGCGCTTACTGCGTACCACAGCCACGCCGCTGCCTGGATCAGATATGGCATCATATTCTGGGGCAATTCTACCGAGGTGCACGCGGTATCCGTGCTCCAAAAACGTTGCCTTAGAATAATTGCATTCGTAGCTCCAAGAGATTCATGTCGAAAGTTGTTCCCTAAATTCAACTTATTAACTGTGACGTGCATTTATATTTTTGAATTATGCCGCTTTGTTAGGAAAAGTCCTCATTATTTTCAACGAATTGGGGATAGACCCAATCGATATGGCGCACGTCACCGTGGTTATAACCTGGTCGCTCCTACCGCACATCTAACAATATTTAAAAATGGTCCCTACTACATGGCAATAAAGGTTTACAACCATTTACCAAATAATATAAAAGCCCTCCAGTGTCGTAAATTTGAAATAGTACTTAAGAAAATGCTTATTGTAAAAAGCTATTATAACTTAAATGAATATTTTAATGACAAATTATAAATTTAAATTATTTTGACAAAATTTATTATTTCTATTTACTTAAATGACATTACTAATATTTTCATCAAAGTTTTAAATCTTATTTATATGAATTAAAATAACCAATAGTTAAGATGAAATATTTATTGACATTTCATTTTAAATAAATGTGTGTATTATTTATTTAGTTTGATATTTGATAAATTAATTAATAATAATGTATAGATTATGTACCTTAAAAATTGTAATTTAATTTAATTTCATATTAATTAACAATTAAAATAGATCTTAATATGCTACGCCCGTACAGGGTTGTCACATGCTCTGTAGACATATTGTAACAACTTTATACTTTGTGACATGCAATAAATGAATTATGAATTATGAATTATGAATTATGAAAGAACCAGCAAGAAACCCAGCGGGACTTTTTTTAAATAACAGCTTACAATAATGTATGTTACACAATTAGCCACAGAAAACATATTAGAAATAGGTTGGTAGCGATCACCTCATTCCCATGGGTTTTTATCATCCATAAATTCCTTAATATTATAATAACCCTTTGGTTTTTGAACTTTGAGCAGGTCAAATTTTCTATATTTTTTGTGATTTTGTTGTAAAAGTTTATACATCGCCCCAAGAATGAAATACTGACTTGATGGAGTCGAGTAACTGGTACTACTAGCTTGTCTGTTTCTAGTATTTACGGAATGAATATCACTTATTTTTGTAAAACTACTTTTATTTTTGTGTACGTACATTACATTTTCATAAATGTATTGAGAGACCATAGTTAATATATTAATTTCCTTAAATTTTTGTCGGAGCGACTCTTTAGGTTTTAAATCATAGATTGCTCTTATGGTCCTCTTCTGTAAAACAAATATAATTTCAGTGTCAGTCGCGTGTCCCCAATAGCACAGAATAAATAATAGTACTAACGTACAGAAGTTGCACTCTTTTGATGTAGACTGCTTGCCGACGTTTTAATAGCCTACATAGTTATTATTAATCAGATAAATCGCGCACGCAAGCTAAATAAAACTTTATCGCTGCGCGCCAGTGTCCGTATTACTTTGCATCTTTTCTCCTTATTACGTCACAACAGACTTTCCGTGGTTGCTAAGGGCTGTTAATAAAGAGTAAAAAAATACATTGTGAAATGGTAAGTTACTTAGGTAAAGTACCTATGCTGACTATAATCGACCATATTTATCTACTATGTGAGTTATGTGATGCGCAACGAATGCAACTTGCAAGGCCATTCGTCGGGAATCGCGATGCTTGATTCGTATAGGTAGATAGCGTAAACAACAAATAAACCCGAAATACGATTCCTAAATCCTAACAGAAATATAATCGTAATCTACTTAGTTGAAAATCTTTTAAACAAAGTTTTAATTTCAGTATTTTGTGCTATTATAACTTAAAATACTTTAATTACAAAGACGAGTATAGGTATGTAAGTAGGTACTTGGGTAGTGAAGTAAATTTCAACTAAGTTTTGTAATGAAGTACTTAGGTATTACTTCTGTAGTTAATTTTTACTTAATTATTTTTTCGCTATAAGTACATATCTAACAAAAAAATTAAATAAATTTATCATTTCAATCATTTTAATTGCTCATTAAGCATCCATCAACAATTATAGTAGGAACGACGTTTTGTCATTATAATTTACCAAATAGATTGCTAATATACATATATATTATTCTAAAACTACATTAAAACTTTTTCAATTATTTTATCCTATAATTAAATATACTAAACACTAAACAAAACCTATTTCGACGAGTATTTCAACAAGTATTTACAAAAAATTATTTACGTAATCAGCGATAAAAAAAAGTTAACATTCAATCGTATAGAGCGCGCTAGCCCCGACTGCGATCTACCCCTGGGGCAGCTCGCGATTGTAGGTAATTATTTCACACAGGTAGCAAGAGTGACAGAGGCCTGCCCATAGCAAAATACCATACGACATTATGCTATGGAAATAGCTAAAGTAAACAAGGTTTCCACACTAGTAAGATATCTAATCTTGTTTACAGCATATGCTGCTGAACTAAGAATGCTTGCTAATTTTGACTCCATTGAAGCTTCGCGTCTAGTGTTATTCCAAGAAAAATGGTGATATCGACAAGACTTAGTTCCTCCCCATTTAATATTATTTTATTATTTAAATGTTTGACATTTGGAGTCATGAATTTCATATATTTCGTTTTAGTGCCATTTAAATGCAAGTTAATAACATTAAACCAATTTACTAATTAAGATATAGCATTATTTACTTTGTCATGTTTTAATAATTGTTGTTTTAATTTGAAAATTAATGAAGTGTCATCAGCAAATAATACTATATTATGATTATCCCCTACTATGTAAGGTAAGTCATTAATATATACAAGAAATAGAAAGGGGCCGAGAATTGAGCCTTGAGACACGCCCATTTGTACTATCGACCCGGAAGAGCGCATACTATTAATGAAAACTTTTTGCGTTCTGTTACTTAAATATGAAACAATTAATTTAACAGCATTACTTCTTACACCGTGGTGCTGTAGTTTCCTGATTAATGTTTCATGGTGAATACAATCGAAGGCTTTGGATAGGTCACAGAATATACCCAAAGCATCCTGTGAATTCTCCCATGCATTGAACATAAATTTAATCAGCTCAACACCAGCACCAGTTGTCGAGCGACCCCTTGTGAAATCGAATTGCTTTTATGAAGTAAATTATTTACATTAAAAAAATTAACATTCGTCAAGAATATTTTTTTCAAAAATTTTACTGTGTTGGCAGTACAGAAATTGGTCTTAAATTGGCGGGGTCTAATGTACTACCAGATTTAAATAAAGGTATTAGTTTACTATGCTTCATTATATTAGGAAACATACCAGATTCGATACTAGTATTGAAAATAATAGCTAGTTGAGGTGCGACTATACGAGGGCTTCACTAAAAGTATCGGGAATAGAATATTTCCACTGTTCCTGTCATATTAAAATCTTTTTAATTGAAAACTCATTGGTTTTAAAAATCGAATAGCATTTATTTATTAAAAAAAGATTCTCGGTCTTGCCACAAGGTTTTATCAAACTTGTTTAGTCGTTGAGAAAATGAATTGACTCGAGAAAATTCAAGAGCGATGCTTTATTATGACTTTCGAAGTGGTTTAACACAAAGACAGTGTGTTGACCGGATGATTTCTGCATATGGTGATGAAGCCCCATCCAAACCCACAATTTATCGCTGGTTTGCTGAATTTCAACGTGGACGTGTCAAGCTCAGTGATGATCCCCGTCAAGGTCGTCCAAAAACTGCAGTCACCCAAGAAAACGTTGATGCTGTGCGTAAGCTGATTGAGGAAGATCGACATGTGACATACCGCGAAATTCAGGCAACTTTAGACATTGGCATGAGTCAAATACAAATAATCTTGCATGAACAATTAGGTGTAAAAAACGTTGTTTTCCCGATGGATACCGCATTCGCTCTGTGAAGAGCAAAAAGCGGCTCGCGTTACTTGGTGCGTCAGAACTCTCGAAAGATTCCACGCAGGATCCTCAAATGCTGTATACAACATCGTATCAGGTGACGAATCCTGGATATATGCGTACGAACCCGAAACATAAAACCAGTCACGAGTTTGGGTGTTCGAAAATGAGTTAAAGCCAACAAAAAGTGTTCGTTCACGGAGTGTTGCAAAAAAAAATGGTGGCCACGTTTTTCTCCAAAACCGGCCATGTTATGACTATTCCTCTTGAGGGACAAAGAACGGTTAATGCAGAATGGTATGCTAGCATTTGTTTGCCACAGGTCGTTTCTGAACTCCGTAAAGAGAACTGCAACCGCCGCATCATCCTCCATCACGACAATGCGAGTTCTCACACCGCACACAGAACAAAAGAGTTTTTAGAGCAAGAAAACATAGAATTATTAGACCATCCGCCGTACAGCCCCGACCTAAGCCCTAATGATTTGTATACTTTCCTTAAAATAAAGAATAAATTGCGTGGACAGAGATTTTCATCACCTGAAGAAGCTGTGGACGCCTACAAAACGGCCATTTTGGAGACCCCAACTTCTGTATGGAATGGTTGCTTCAATGATTGGTTCCATCGTATGGAAAAATGTGTCAAATTTCGCGGAGAATACTTCGAAAAGCAATAAATACATTTTTAAATAGTAATGTTGTGTCACTTCCTTGATTCCCGAAATTTTCAGTGCCGCCCTCGTATCTATTATAGACGCAATAACTTTAAGGGAAATCCCCCACGCCTGGCGGGGGATTTCCGTTAAAGTTAATCAATAATTTTAAAATTCCGTTGATCAATAGTTTTAAAATATTTTACAATATATTTTAATGATATTTTATGAAATGTAAAATTCTTTGTACACGCATTTACATTTTGTTTAAGTAATGATTAGGCGACGGCAGGAGAAGAATTCAGTGACTTAGTGGTTAAGATCGGAATATCAGTAAAATATTTCTCAAAAAGCATTGCAATATCGTGATCTGATTCAGTTATTAATTATACTCTACGTCATTTTAATTTTATTAGAAGCCGTCTTACTTTTGTTGCTCAAATGCAAAGACTTAGCTGTGGAGCACTCTCTTTTAAATATTTTTGAATATTTTACATATTCTATGAAAAAAAAAATAATCAGATAAGATCTCGTGTTAAAAATAATTAATTTGAATTTTCAATTGTGCGGGGAGGCAGAAGCTCCTTTCCACAATCCCTGCACCATCACTGTCACCACTAAGTTAACACCACTACATTACAAACTAGATAAGACGAAATATTTTATTTTTCTGCTTATCTCTTAGGTATCTTAGAATCTTAACTAATATCTAATATAATAATAACTAACTTAAATGATTAAAAAAAAACTTGGATTCTTACCACGTAAATGTTATCTGAAGGATAAAATCCGCCCTGAAAACAAAGCTAGATTATAAAAACTGGAAAATTAACTTGTAACACAAAAGGTACCTATAAAATAAGGACTGTTATAGGAAGTATACAACTACAAACAGGAAAATATTTTGTAACCCCACAAATGGTATTATAATAGTTTTAGTATTTGTACGATTCGAGCCCATGATCTCATCCCCTTAACTCCTTGCTAAGGCGATGCGCTACGGATTCATCAAGCCTTCAACTTCTCTGCACTCGTTTTCGGTTGTCAACCTGCCTGCCACTTGTGACAACTATGGCAAAGATTTTCTTTATATGGAGGAGTATGGACTTTCGATAGGTTGTAATAAATGAATGAAATAGATTATAACAATGACATCTGCGCAGGAGAGGGTTATAGTTCACGAGTGTGCGCAAGCACAAGTGCACTGTCTATACATTCAATCTCATTGTCCGATGGGACGACAATCCGATACGGAAAGTGATTAGGCGTAGGATTGACAGCTTTAGCTGAAATACCGCTAACTTCCTGATTTCAGGCTGCTACTGCAAATTTCTTGACGGAAAAACCCATTGAATGATTTCGGACCCGGGATTCGAACTCGGGGACCACATGATCAGCATTCGTGGCTATGACAGAACAACGGAGACATTTATATAATAGAGATATATGTGTGAATGCGCGTATGCTCGTACCCACATATGCGTAAGTTTGTGTGTATACGTGCGTGTGTTACCGTGTAGTGGCGGTGTAAGTATATTCTATTTCTTGTGGATGTCAAATCTACAACGTATTTATTTATTCTATTTGAAATACCAGTAGCTTTTATACATTTCACTTATTATTAAATTTTAAATCTACATATACACATCAACAGAATCTAGGGATATTCTATATTTAATCAAATATCTAAAAATCTATGAATAATTTTCTGATATAGTAAATGGAAGAATGATAGATTATTTTAAGGTCTTTAATAAAAAATAATAAACATTTCGTAATTCTTTTCTTTTAAATAAAAATGTTATTTTTTTAATCGCCGTAGATAATTAGTATGATAATAAAACGTCATTTCTGCTTATAAAACTATTAATTTTAATTAAAATTAAAAAAATATATAATTATTAATAATCAGTGTTGCCACCTTTTACATTAATTACACATCGACATCGATTGTTCATACTTAAAATTAAATTGTTAATGTCTTGCTGTGGTATTAGGTCCCATGTTCTTTGCAAGTCTTCGTAAAGTTATTGTTCAGTCGTCAAATTTAGCGGGAAATCTCTCAAAGCTTTTCGTTGTAACATGTCACAGGGATGCTCGATTGGATTTAAGTCGGGCGACTGTGCAGGCCAATACAAAACTTGAATATCGTGGTCTCGAAGAGCGGCCAACACCAGTCGCGCCGTATGGGAAGGAGCATTATCGTGCATGAGTAGAAATTCCTGGCCTATTTGGATTCTGTGTGGGACAATAACAGGCTCTACTAACTCCTCGTGGTATTTTTGTGCAGTCATGCTGCCTTAGATCCAAACGAGCTGGGTTCGTCCGCCAAGACAAATTACTGCCTACACCATGATAGTCCTGCCTTGGTATGAGTGGACCTGCTGAGGGTGTCGTAGATGGCTAACTCTCTCTGGAGTTCCCCAAACGAGTGTTCGGTGAACAGTATCAAAGACCATTGTTCGTCACTCCATGGTAAATGCTCCCGAAGCCACGAAAGCCGTTCAATTTTGTTGCTGTATTTTGTTTTTTCTTTTGTTTTTTTATTATTAACATTTTTAAATTTTGAAAATAGAATAAAAGAGGTTACAATCTGTTTTTAAAATATTTTATGGAAATTAAAAAATTTTAAACTATAAAGTGGTAAATAATTTAGGATTAAAGTATCCCTAGATTACGTTGGTGTGTAACTATTAAAAGGTATTCGCATATTATGGTGTTTAAGTGTATGTACATGTATATGTGTGTGCGCGTACGTGTGTGTGTGTATGCATAGGTGCACGCGTGCGCGTGTGCAGGTGCGCGACTCACGAGCGGCGTGTCGTGGCGCAGCAGCAGCGGGCGCAGCGTGTGTGCGCGTACGTATGTGTGTGTATGCATAGGTGTGCGTGTGCGCGTGTGCAGGTGTGCGACTCACGAGCGGCGTGTCGTGGCGCAGCAGCAGCGGGCGCAGCGTGTGTGCGCGTACGTATGTGTGTGTATGCATAGGTGTGCGTGTGCGCGTGTGCAGGTGTGCGACTCACGAGCGGCGTGTCGTGGCGCAGCAGCAGCGGGCGCAGCGTGTGTGCGCGTACGTATGTGTGTGTATGCATAGGTGTGCGTGTGCGCGTGTGCAGGTGTGCGACTCACGAGCGGCGTGTCGTGGCGCAGCAGCAGCGGGCGCAGCGTGTGTGCGCGTACGTATGTGTGTGTATGCATAGGTGTGCGTGTGCGCGTGTGCAGGTGTGCGACTCACGAGCGGCGTGTCGTGGCGCAGCAGCAGCGGGCGCAGCGTGTGTGCGCGTACGTATGTGTGTGTATGCATAGGTGTGCGTGTGCGCGTGTGCAGGTGCGCGACTCACGAGCGGCGTGTCGTGGCGCAGCAGCAGCGGGCGCAGCGTGTGTGCGCGTACGTATGTGTGTGTATGCATAGGTGTGCGTGTGCGCGTGTGCAGGTGTGCGACTCACGAGCGGCGTGTCGTGGCGCAGCAGCAGCGGGCGCAGCGTGTGTGCGCGTACGTATGTGTGTGTATGCATAGGTGTGCGTGTGCGCGTGTGCAGGTGTGCGACTCACGAGCGGCGTGTCGTGGCGCAGCAGCAGCGGGCGCAGCGTGTGTGCGCGTACGTATGTGTGTGTATGCATAGGTGTGCGTGTGCGTGTGTGTAGGCGTGCGACTCACGAGCGGCGTGTCGAGGCGCAGCAGCAGCGGGCGCAGCGTGTGTGCGCGTACGTATGTGTGTGTATGCATAGGTGTGCGTGTGCGCGTGTGCAGGTGTGCGACTCACGAGCGGCGTGTCGTGGCGCAGCAGCAGCGGGCGCAGCGTGTGTGCGCGTACGTATGTGTGTGTATGCATAGGTGTGCGTGTGCGCGTGTGCAGGTGTGCGACTCACGAGCGGCGTGTCGTGGCGCAGCAGCAGCGGGCGCAGCGTGTGTGCGCGTACGTATGTGTGTGTATGCATAGGTGTGCGTGTGCGCGTGTGCAGGTGCGCGACTCACGAGCGGCGTGTCGTGGCGCAGCAGCAGCGGGCGCAGCGTGTGTGCGCGTACGTATGTGTGTGTATGCATAGGTGTGCGTGTGCGCGTGTGCAGGTGTGCGACTCACGAGCGGCGTGTCGTGGCGCAGCAGCAGCGGGCGCAGCGTGTGTGCGCGTACGTATGTGTGTGTATGCATAGGTGTGCGTGTGCGCGTGTGCAGGTGTGCGACTCACGAGCGGCGTGTCGTGGCGCAGCAGCAGCGGGCGCAGCGTGTGTGCGCGTACGTATGTGTGTGTATGCATAGGTGTGCGTGTGCGTGTGTGTAGGCGTGCGACTCACGAGCGGCGTGTCGTGGCGCAGCAGCAGCGGGCGCAGCGTGTGTGCGCGTACGTATGTGTGTGTATGCATAGGTGTGCGTGTGCGCGTGTGCAGGTGTGCGACTCACGAGCGGCGTGTCGTGGCGCAGCAGCAGCGGGCGCAGCGTGTGTGCGCGTACGTATGTGTGTGTATGCATAGGTGTGCGTGTGCGTGTGTGTAGGCGTGCGACTCACGAGCGGCGTGTCGTGGCGCAGCAGCAGCGGGCGCAGCGTGTGTGCGCGTACGTATGTGTGTGTATGCATAGGTGTGCGTGTGCGTGTGTGTAGGCGTGCGACTCACGAGCGGCGTGTCGTGGCGCAGCAGCAGCGGGCGCAGCGTGTGTGCGCGTACGTATGTGTGTGTATGCATAGGTGTGCGTGTGCGTGTGTGTAGGCGTGCGACTCACGAGCGGCGTGTCGTGGCGCAGCAGCAGCGGGCGCAGCGTGTGTGCGCGTACGTATGTGTGTGTATGCATAGGTGTGCGTGTGCGTGTGTGTAGGCGTGCGACTCACGAGCGGCGTGTCGTGGCGCAGCAGCAGCGGGCGCAGCGTGTGTGCGCGTACGTATGTGTGTGTATGCATAGGTGTGCGTGTGCGTGTGTGTAGGCGTGCGACTCACGAGCGGCGTGTCGTGGCGCAGCAGCAGCGGGCGCAGCGTGTGTGCGCGTACGTATGTGTGTGTATGCATAGGTGTGCGTGTGCGTGTGTGTAGGCGTGCGACTCACGAGCGGCGTGTCGTGGCGCAGCAGCAGCGGGCGCAGCGTGTGCTCGCGGAAGGCGAGCCAGCGCTGCGCCGCGCCGGGCTCCGCGGGCGCACAGCCCTCCAGCCGCCGCAGCGCCAGCACCACGTGCCCCATGTTGCCGCGCCGTATGGACCCCGCACCCACCCTGAACCGAACGAACCTTTCACCAACTTATACACTCACCGAATTACATCTACATAACTTTTCACATAAAATATATAAAATATTCTATCTGTAATATACGTTAGGCACAATGACTTTTTCCCGCAAAGCTGTAAATTTATACTACATAATTAATAACATAAATATTTTGCACCACCACTAAGCGCACATTATTAATAACTGTACAACCAACGGAATATTACCAAATTACCTCAAAAACGTCATTATAAAACCTCTTTACAAGCAGAATGATAAAAGTGATATTAAAAATTACAGACCAATTGCTATAATTTCGAAATTTTTAAAAATTATAGAGAAAGTAATATATATAAATTGTAAACAATTACTTTGAAACACATAAGTTGTTTGGCATTGAACAAAAAGGGTTTCGAAAGAATACTACAATCAATATGGCCCTTTTTGACCAATATTATGACATCCGTAGATAAAAAGAATCCGATATGTGATACATACACAGATAAGACAAAAGCATTTGATTTTGTTGATCATAAAATTTTACTGAAAAAAATTCACGGCTATGGAATAAGAGGAAATGTCATTAAACTCTTGCAATCGTACCTAAGTGACAGATCTGTGTTCGGAAATTTCTAGAATATGCCCAATTACTAAGGTAGGATATGTATATATATCTGAATCTAGAAATATAAACATATGGCATGCCTCAAGGCAGTGTTGGGACCATTATTATTTTTAATATACAATAACGATCTCCCAAAAGCAATCACACAAACTGTTTCTTTTTGCTAATTATAGCACTGCAATTATTGAGTACACTATCGTAAAAATTAGTGAAACGAAATTAATAGCTCTATGTATATGCGAAATCATAAAACGGCTTGACAATAACAATTTAATAATATATATAAACAAAACTAAAATAATACATTTCATAATTATAATAACTGTTGGATAGAAGAGGTTACCAGTAGTCAATTTCTAGGTATAATTAGAGACAATAAACTCACTTGGAAACCCCACGTAAAAGATATATGTGAGTGCATGAGTGAATACGCACGCACACGCATACGCACTTTTTCAATTATCAAAAAGTAAATATTGAAGCATTACTGATAGCGTATCATGGCTTAGTAGGTTCGATTCTTCGATATGGTTTTACTTTTTGAAGCAATCGACTGACAGAGAGACTGTATTCGGGTTGCAAAAACGCTTCATTAGATCAATATGTGGTCTACAACCGATAGACAGTTGTGTACCTTACTTTAAGTCATTAAAACTGTTAATTTTCCCGGTACTGTACATTTTAGAAACTGCACTTTTTGTAAAAAGAAACCCACGCTTACTAAATTATCAGCAGTCAAGAAAACTCCAATGCTTGCTCAATACACAAAAACTTTTTCAGACTTGCTCCTAAAATATACAACAAAATTCCTAATGCCATTCAAATAATGCCACTGTCAAAATTTAAAATAGCACTACAAAAACTTCTTCTCAACAAATGTTATTATACAATAGACGAGTTTTAAACGATACATTATTATAATATTATTAATATTATGCTTGCAATTTGTTATGAATTTGATTTTATTTTATGAATATTGCCGTGTAGTGGCGGTTATGAATATCCACTACCCCATATTTTCCCGTAGGTGTCGTAATAGACGACAAAGGGAAACAGGCAGGAGATGGGCAGCAGCATCTTCCTGATAGCAAAAATACAATAAAAAAATTGCGGTTGCCAACCCGCTCGCCAAGCGTGGCAACTATGGCAAATACCCCCCAATGATGAGAGCAAGAAATAAACGGCCACCAGTCCCCGGCGGCCCCGCTATTCCTGGCTACAGTGGCGACCATGGTAACGGCGGGGCACGGGGTGCTAAGAATCTCCGGTGGAGGTTCGGTTGCCACCTAAGACGACTCGGCCTGGCAACATACAACGCACGCACCCTGAGGACTGACGAGAAGATCGTGGAGCTGGAAGAAGAGGTAGACAAGTTACGCTGGCATATTTTAGGATTATCCGAGGTCCGAAGAGAGGGGGAGGACACGGTAATCCTCGAATCCGGCAACTTGCTCTATCACCGGGAGGGCGACCATCAACGTCGACGTCCAAGGAGGTGTCGGATTTATCGTCCACAAGTCTCTCATTAACAACGTTGTAAAGATTGAGTGTGTCGACGAGGGTTGCGTACCTTATACTGAGAATCACCAAACGGTATTCGCTGAAGGTCATACAGGTTTACGCACCAACTCGACACATCCCGATGAGGAGGTGGAGGAAATGTAGGAGGATATCTCTAGAGCCATGCATTCCTCCAAAACCCACTATACCCTATATATATATACCTAGTCAGGTCATAAATTCTGTCACATGTTTAATATAAAATAATTGAAACAAGTTTATTCATTATGTAACCATTTATATACCAAAATGAACTTAACAAAACATAGATTCTTATGACACTAAAGTTTATTCAAAATGACCTCCGTGATTTTGAATACAGGCCTTCAATCTGCGCGGCCAGTCGTCTATCGCAGCACGAACGAGGTCCATGGCAATATCGGCGGCTGCCTTAATCAAGGATGTCTTGAGTGACTCCAAATTGGGTTGAGGCTTTGAGCACGCCTTTTCCTCCAAGTGTTGCCATATCTTGTAATCTAACGGATTCAAATCTGGACTGGAGGAGGGCCGGTCTTCGTGCCGGATGAAGTCGATTTCACGTGCCGCCAGCCAGTCTTGTGTGCTCTTCGCTCTGTGAGCTGGCGCCGAATCTTGTTGGAATACCTAGTGCCTGTTATTGAACATGGTATGAGAAACAGGTTCCACAAGGTTCGTCAGGACTGTATTTTGATACACAACTGCATTCGTTTTTACACCTTTCTCACAAAAATGTACCTCTGTTAAGCCCCAATAAGAAACTCCCAACCATACCATGAGCGAGGATGGAAAATGACCTCGTTGGACACGCGAAATACGGTTGCTCGCTTCTTCACTACTGTGTGCGTCCAACTTATCATTTTGTTTGTTGTAGCTCTCTTCTACGGTAAAAATTTTTTCATCCGAAAAAAGAATTTTCCGATATTTTTTCCCGCGTACCGCTTCAACAAAGCGCGGCATCTCTTCAGTCTCAGGTCCATTAGACGAGCATTCAAACGATGTCCTGTTTTTCTTCGATATGCCCGAAGCCCTAAGTCTTCATTTAACACCCTTTTCACCGTGGTTCTGCTTAACCCCATCTGAAGGGCCAACAGTTTCTGCTTACGTTTGGGATTTCTTTGAATTCGTGCCTTCACAGCTTTTATCACTACTGGAGTCCTAACAGACCGAGGGCGACCACTTCTTGACCTGTCATCTACACTAGAGTCTTCATTGTATCGTTTGATGGTACGATAAACGAATCTTTTGGTTATATTCAAATTTTTCAGTATGTCAAAAATTTGAATTGGCGCGTAACCGCAACGATGCAACACAATAACTGCAACACGGTCTTCTTTAAGCGTCCACTCCATATTTAAAAATAAGTAAAATTCTAAAAAGTATACAGTTTTATTTTCATGAACAATTCGAAATTCGAATTCAATAAACTTTTTTGTGGCCAGCATTCTAAAAGAAATGTTTTTACTGTGTGACAATACTTATGACCTGACTAGGTACAGTGTTAATGGGAAACTTTAATGCAAAACTAGGCACAAGAGAGAACGGTGAGCTGAAAGAAGGGAAATTTGGAATAGGGCAACGGAACCCAAGGGGCCAGCAGGGACCTGGTCGAGACCCGACGGTTCGACAAAAAATGAGATTGACTTCATTATGACGACCAGACGACAACTGTTCAGTAATGTCTCCGTGATCACGAGCGGGAAAACTGGTATCGATCACCGAATGGTTAGAGGCACACTGAACCTAAACGTTAAGTTGGAGAGGTCTCTTCTAATGAAGTCAAGGCTCCGTCCCCCTCGTGCTCTAGTCCAAAGTCCCGAAACCTTTCAGCTCGAGTAACAAAACCGTTTTCAGTGCCTAGAAGACTGCAATGAAGTGGACGATATGAATGACAAGCTCGTGGAAACTGTCTATGCGGTCGGAGCTAAGTTCCGCAAGACCCGCCGCAGAAGAACACAAAAACTCTCCGATCACACTCTTAATCTCATGGCTGTTAGACGGGAGATGAAGCTACATTCTTCAACAGATTTGACAGCATACAGGCAACTGAACAGACAGATCTCCAAATGCATGCGGCGGGTCTTACGCAACTTCAATACAGCTTGTATTGAAAAAACGATCGAGCGGAACCAAGGCTTCATCAAAGTCTTTGCCAGAGATCTGTTTGCCAGAAAGAGCCAACTGTCAAGGCTGAAGACCGAGTGTGGCAGCATCGTTTCCGGGACACCTGAGATTTTGAGTGAGATTAAGAGGTTCTATGAGCAGCTGTACACGTCATCGTTGGAGTCACACGCAAGTGTGAGTAACGATCCAAGAGCGAGTCTTATCCGACACTATTCCGAAGATATCCCGGACGTCAGTCTGAGCGAGATTAGAATGGCTCTCCAACACCTTAAAAACGGCAAGTCCCCCGGCGAGAATGGAATTACAGCGGAGCTTTTGAAAGCGGGTGGAAAACCGGTACTTGAAGTCCTTCAAAAGCTCTTTAATTCCGTCCTCCATGGTGGCACTACTCCGGAGGCGTGGAGCAGAAGTGCGGTGGTCTTGTTCTTCATGAAAGGCGACAACGCTTTCTTGAAGAACTACAGACCGAATTCCCTTTTGAGCCGCGTCTACGTGTTGTTTTCGAGAGTTATTATGAATCGTCTCGCGCGCAGACTTGACGACTTCCAGCCTCCCGAAGAAGCCGGTTTCCAAAAAGGCTTTAGTACCATAGACCACATACATACCCTGCGGCAGATTGTACAGAAGACAGAGGAGTACAATTTACCACTATGTCTGGCGTATGTGGACTATGAGAAAGCCTTTGACACCGTCGAAATTTGGGCGGTGCTGCAGTCCCTTCAGCGGTGCCAAGTTGACTGTCGGTATATCGAAGTGCTGAAGTGTTTGCACAGTAGAGCTACGATGGCTATAACTGCAGAGAGGTGTAAGACAGGGAGGCGTTTTCAAGCTACTGGACTGGAAAGGTTGCGGTATTAACATCAATGGCGAGTACATCACTCACTTTCGATTTGACGACGATATAGTCCTTATGGCAGAATCGCTGGAGGACTTAAGCACTATGCTCAATGACCTCAATAGTGTCTCTCAACAGCTAGGTCTTAAGATGAACATGGACAAAACAAAAATCATGTTTAACGTCCATGTCACACCTATGCCGGTAGTTGTTGGAAGCACTAAACTCGAAGTTGTTGACGAGTATGTTTACCTGGGACAAATAGTCCGACTAGGTAAGTCCAACTTCGACCGAGAGGTCAATCGACGGATTCAACTCGGCTGGGCAGCGTTCGGGAAACTACGACACATCTTCTCGTCATGTATACCTTAAAACCTGAAAACCAAATTGTACAACCAGTGCGTGTTGCCAGTGATGACGGATCTGAGACGTGGTTCTTCATTGCTGGCCGTATGAGGAAGCTCAAGGTCGCTCAGCGAGCTATGGAGAGGGCTATGCTCGGGGTTTCTCTGCGTGATAAACTTAGAAATGAGGATATCCGCAGTAGAAACAGAGTAACAGACCTAGCCCAACGGATTAGTAAGCTGAAGTGGCAGTGGGCCGGCTATATAGCTCGAAGAACCGACAACCGATGGGGAAGAAAGGTTCTCGAGTGGCAGCCTCGTACCGGTAGGCGAAGTATAGGGCGACCCCCCACTAAATGGAGTGACGACCTGGTAAGACATGCAGGAAGTCGATGGATGCAGGTGGATAAGGACCGTGTTTTGTGACATTCCTTGGGGGGGCCTATGTTCAGCAGTGGACTTATGAAAAGCTGTAATGATGAAATGGTGATGATATGAATATTATTTAATTATTATAATTATGAAAAAATGTAGTTTTAACCTATTTAATTTGTAAAAATATTTGTGTCTTACGACCAAACACAGTGCACAATTAAATGTATGACCAGCTATTGTATATGTATACCTGTGTTTCACAAACATTCTGATTGTGATTCTGTAATAACAGTTATATTGTAATAATAAAAGTAATTTAAGTCATTATAAATTTCTATTTAACAAATTACCCATGTTGTTTGTCGAAATTAAAATATAAACAGATAAAATAAAAAATACTTACTTTGTATTCTCATTTGCTTCAAAAGTATCCATCAGCCTCGTTAAAAGATTGCATTCATCTATTAACTGAAAAGTACAAAATGTTACTTTAACAAAATGCCATTAAAATAACAATAATCGAAACAGGAAAAATAAAAAATATAACGATATGTTAGTCATCATTTATCATTTATGGTAGAGCCATGCTGCAGATATATTATGATCGTAGCATGAATGGGTCAGCTCGACCGGGGAAGGACCACGCTCTCACAGAATACCAGCGTAAAATAGCAGCTTAACGCTGCTGTGTTTCGTATGGTGAGTGTAGAGAACAGGAGACCCTTTTTACTGGAAATGAGGCATTCCATCTTAGTCCTCATGGGTGACAACGCATCTGTATTTTAATCCGCAAACGAAGATAGATGTAGATGTCTATGGGCCGCAGCAACCACTTACCATCAGGTGGACTGTGTGCTCGTTTGTCACCCTTATCCTATAAAAAAAAAACACAAAACAAACAACTACATGAAAACTATAACAACAAAGAAGATTAAAGGTTAAAACAGTAATTTAGAAAACCCGATTGCGTAAAACATTTTAGACATACACCCATACGTATTCTCGAAAAACAACACCCTCCTTCTAGGGCAGTTAGGTAAAAAGCTAAGCATCACAGCAACTTTTTAATACGCTTATATTTACTTGACCAGTATGTAGGCATATATGTAAATAATAAAATGTAGTTCTCACCCACTTCCGTTCGTCCAAATAATTTAAAATTTTGCGGACATATTAAGAACCAATGAAAATACAATACATTTTGACCATGGTGAATATTATTTTTGGCGTATACTGGTGGTACAAGAAGTCGAATGAGAGAAACTGAAACGAGATGGGCAGTAGCATCTTACATGGCAGCCCAAACCCGATTTTTTTCAATTTTAATATAATAGCTAATTACAATCAGGTAGGTAAGTTCATTTATCACTTCGAATTTATAAAATAAAATTAAAATTTGTTTCAAAGATACATTATTAGCGTTCATTTCCAAGACTTGAAAAAAAAAGCAATGAAGAATACACTACTCTACCTTAGAAGTATAAGATAAATAAACAGGAACTGTCAAAACTAATTACTATTACCACCACCATTACAGCCTACCAAAAGTCCACTGCTGAACATAGCCTTCTCGATATATTGCCTCGGTATATTTGCCATAGTTGCCACACTAGGCAAGCTGTTTGGCAATCGCAGTTTCTATTTTCTAGTTATTATTAGGAATACTCTGCTATCTCCTGGTTTGTATCCCTCTGTCGTCTCTCACTACATCAGCAGGACGATATGGGGCAGTGGATATTCGTATACCGCCACTGCACGAACTTTAATTAAAACATGTTTACTTACAGAAATGGCAATACAAAGAACAATGTACTCACATGCCTGGCGTATCGTTCACCGTATAGCCTGTTGGAGAGCGCGTTGTGTATGAGGATATAGACCTGCGTGTGAAGGAAGTTGTTCTGCGGGTAGTCGAAGAACATGTCTATCAGCACGCCTGGTGTTCCTGCGAACATCGGTGGCCATGAAATTTGTAGCAGTTCAACAGTATATTAAGCGGAAATATAAACGTGTCTATGCTCCGTGGAACCATTTATTTTACTTTTGACAGTTCGAGTACTAATCAATTAGTGATGTATTGATGCGTTACCGATTCGACTTCTTAAAACTATATATTTATCCATTACAGCCTATTAAAGTCCACTACTGAACATAGGCCTCCCCGTAGCCTTATAGCATTTTTCCATAGTTGCCATGTTTATTAGCAGCCGGTTTGATAACCGCAGTTTTTTCTTTGTGCTTAATATTTTGTATCGTTTTATTGACATATATAGGCGTTTTAAATGGTTATAGATTATGTATTAAAATTAATTATAACCTTTAACGTTAATTGCTTATGTTATTGATATAAATAGAATGAAAAAAATAGAACGAAAATAATTTATTTGCACGTTATTGTTCTATAATTGTTGTTATTTATTTTTGTTTGAAAGAAAGAACATATTTATTTATTGGTGCAATGAAATATTTAAAAAAAAATGGGTTGCAGCAACAAAAAAGTCCACCTACTCAGTATAATGCTACAGTAACATAGTTACCGCTGTTGCAACAGAGTTTGTGTAGATTTCGAAGCGAAAATTTTTTTTAGAATCGTTGTTACTTGAAACTCGATGAAAAGAAAAAGTGACATTAAAATGAGACAAGCATATACATCTATAGGATTGAGTCAGCGAGAGAATGAGATAGAATACAGTGTTTCCTATTATTTCGGTGTCTTTTTCTGAAGGCTTCATTTGTACCGAGTGTGAAGTGCATACATGATTTGTTTTATGAAGAACAGCTTACCCAGGGTAAGCAAGGCGTTGTGCACGTCCTGCAGCTCGGAGAAGGCGAGCTGCGCCACGAGCGCCGCCACGTGCACGCATACAGGATTTGTTTTATGAAGAACAGCTTACCCAGGGTAAGCAAGGCGTTGTGCACGTCCTGCAGCTCGGAGAAGGCGAGCTGCGCCACGAGCGCCGCCACGTGCACGCATACAGGATTTGTTTTATGAAGAACAGCTTACCCAGGGTAAGCAAGGCGTTGTGCACGTCCTGCAGCTCGGAGAAGGCGAGCTGCGCCACGAGCGCCGCCACGTGCACGCATACAGGATTTGTTTTATGAAGAACAGCTTACCCAGGGTAAGCAAGGCGTTGTGCACGTCCTGCAGCTCGGAGAAGGCGAGCTGCGCCACGAGCGCCGCCACGTGCACGCATACAGGATTTGTTTTATGAAGAACAGCTTACCCAGGGTAAGCAAGGCGTTGTGCACGTCCTGCAGCTCGGAGAAGGCGAGCTGCGCCACGAGCGCCGCCACGTGCACGCATACAGGATTTGTTTTATGAAGAACAGCTTACCCAGGGTAAGCAAGGCGTTGTGCACGTCCTGCAGCTCGGAGAAGGCGAGCTGCGCCACGAGCGCCGCCACGTGCACGCATACAGGATTTGTTTTATGAAGAACAGCTTACCCAGGGTAAGCAAGGCGTTGTGCACGTCCTGCAGCTCGGAGAAGGCGAGCTGCGCCACGAGCGCCGCCACGTGCACGCATACAGGATTTGTTTTATGAAGAACAGCTTACCCAGGGTAAGCAAGGCGTTGTGCACGTCCTGCAGCTCGGAGAAGGCGAGCTGCGCCACGAGCGCCGCCACGTGCACGCATACAGGATTTGTTTTATGAAGAACAGCTTACCCAGGGTAAGCAAGGCGTTGTGCACGTCCTGCAGCTCGGAGAAGGCGAGCTGCGCCACGAGCGCCGCCACGTGCACGCATACAGGATTTGTTTTATGAAGAACAGCTTACCCAGGGTAAGCAAGGCGTTGTGCACGTCCTGCAGCTCGGAGAAGGCGAGCTGCGCCACGAGCGCCGCCACGTGCACGCATACAGGATTTGTTTTATGAAGAACAGCTTACCCAGGGTAAGCAAGGCGTTGTGCACGTCCTGCAGCTCGGAGAAGGCGAGCTGCGCCACGAGCGCCGCCACGTGCACGCATACAGGATTTGTTTTATGAAGAACAGCTTACCCAGGGTAAGCAAGGCGTTGTGCACGTCCTGCAGCTCGGAGAAGGCGAGCTGCGCCACGAGCGCCGCCACGTGCACGCATACAGGATTTGTTTTATGAAGAACAGCTTACCCAGGGTAAGCAAGGCGTTGTGCACGTCCTGCAGCTCGGAGAAGGCGAGCTGCGCCACGAGCGCCGCCACGTGCACGCATACAGGATTTGTTTTATGAAGAACAGCTTACCCAGGGTAAGCAAGGCGTTGTGCACGTCCTGCAGCTCGGAGAAGGCGAGCTGCGCCACGAGCGCCGCCACGTGCACGCATACAGGATTTGTTTTATGAAGAACAGCTTACCCAGGGTAAGCAAGGCGTTGTGCACGTCCTGCAGCTCGGAGAAGGCGAGCTGCGCCACGAGCGCCGCCACGTGCACGCATACAGGATTTGTTTTATGAAGAACAGCTTACCCAGGGTAAGCAAGGCGTTGTGCACGTCCTGCAGCTCGGAGAAGGCGAGCTGCGCCACGAGCGCCGCCACGTGCACGCATACAGGATTTGTTTTATGAAGAACAGCTTACCCAGGGTAAGCAAGGCGTTGTGCACGTCCTGCAGCTCGGAGAAGGCGAGCTGCGCCACGAGCGCCGCCACGTGCACGCATACAGGATTTGTTTTATGAAGAACAGCTTACCCAGGGTAAGCAAGGCGTTGTGCACGTCCTGCAGCTCGGAGAAGGCGAGCTGCGCCACGAGCGCCGCCACGTGCACGCATACAGGATTTGTTTTATGAAGAACAGCTTACCCAGGGTAAGCAAGGCGTTGTGCACGTCCTGCAGCTCGGAGAAGGCGAGCTGCGCCACGAGCGCCGCCACGTGCACGCATACAGGATTTGTTTTATGAAGAACAGCTTACCCAGGGTAAGCAAGGCGTTGTGCACGTCCTGCAGCTCGGAGAAGGCGAGCTGCGCCACGAGCGCCGCCACGTGCACGCATACAGGATTTGTTTTATGAAGAACAGCTTACCCAGGGTAAGCAAGGCGTTGTGCACGTCCTGCAGCTCGGAGAAGGCGAGCTGCGCCACGAGCGCCGCCACGTGCACGCATACAGGATTTGTTTTATGAAGAACAGCTTACCCAGGGTAAGCAAGGCGTTGTGCACGTCCTGCAGCTCGGAGAAGGCGAGCTGCGCCACGAGCGCCGCCACGTGCACGCATACAGGATTTGTTTTATGAAGAACAGCTTACCCAGGGTAAGCAAGGCGTTGTGCACGTCCTGCAGCTCGGAGAAGGCGAGCTGCGCCACGAGCGCCGCCACGTGCACGCATACAGGATTTGTTTTATGAAGAACAGCTTACCCAGGGTAAGCAAGGCGTTGTGCACGTCCTGCAGCTCGGAGAAGGCGAGCTGCGCCACGAGCGCCGCCACGTGCACGCATACAGGATTTGTTTTATGAAGAACAGCTTACCCAGGGTAAGCAAGGCGTTGTGCACGTCCTGCAGCTCGGAGAAGGCGAGCTGCGCCACGAGCGCCGCCACGTGCACGCATACAGGATTTGTTTTATGAAGAACAGCTTACCCAGGGTAAGCAAGGCGTTGTGCACGTCCTGCAGCTCGGAGAAGGCGAGCTGCGCCACGAGCGCCGCCACGTGCACGCATACAGGATTTGTTTTATGAAGAACAGCTTACCCAGGGTAAGCAAGGCGTTGTGCACGTCCTGCAGCTCGGAGAAGGCGAGCTGCGCCACGAGCGCCGCCACGTGCACGCATACAGGATTTGTTTTATGAAGAACAGCTTACCCAGGGTAAGCAAGGCGTTGTGCACGTCCTGCAGCTCGGAGAAGGCGAGCTGCGCCACGAGCGCCGCCACGTGCACGCATACAGGATTTGTTTTATGAAGAACAGCTTACCCAGGGTAAGCAAGGCGTTGTGCACGTCCTGCAGCTCGGAGAAGGCGAGCTGCGCCACGAGCGCCGCCACGTGCACGCATACAGGATTTGTTTTATGAAGAACAGCTTACCCAGGGTAAGCAAGGCGTTGTGCACGTCCTGCAGCTCGGAGAAGGCGAGCTGCGCCACGAGCGCCGCCACGTGCACGCATACAGGATTTGTTTTATGAAGAACAGCTTACCCAGGGTAAGCAAGGCGTTGTGCACGTCCTGCAGCTCGGAGAAGGCGAGCTGCGCCACGAGCGCCGCCACGTGCACGCATACAGGATTTGTTTTATGAAGAACAGCTTACCCAGGGTAAGCAAGGCGTTGTGCACGTCCTGCAGCTCGGAGAAGGCGAGCTGCGCCACGAGCGCCGCCACGTGCACGCATACAGGATTTGTTTTATGAAGAACAGCTTACCCAGGGTAAGCAAGGCGTTGTGCACGTCCTGCAGCTCGGAGAAGGCGAGCTGCGCCACGAGCGCCGCCACGTGCACGCATACAGGATTTGTTTTATGAAGAACAGCTTACCCAGGGTAAGCAAGGCGTTGTGCACGTCCTGCAGCTCGGAGAAGGCGAGCTGCGCCACGAGCGCCGCCACGTGCACGCATACAGGATTTGTTTTATGAAGAACAGCTTACCCAGGGTAAGCAAGGCGTTGTGCACGTCCTGCAGCTCGGAGAAGGCGAGCTGCGCCACGAGCGCCGCCACGTGCACGCATACAGGATTTGTTTTATGAAGAACAGCTTACCCAGGGTAAGCAAGGCGTTGTGCACGTCCTGCAGCTCGGAGAAGGCGAGCTGCGCCACGAGCGCCGCCACGTGCACGCATACAGGATTTGTTTTATGAAGAACAGCTTACCCAGGGTAAGCAAGGCGTTGTGCACGTCCTGCAGCTCGGAGAAGGCGAGCTGCGCCACGAGCGCCGCCACGTGCACGCATACAGGATTTGTTTTATGAAGAACAGCTTACCCAGGGTAAGCAAGGCGTTGTGCACGTCCTGCAGCTCGGAGAAGGCGAGCTGCGCCACGAGCGCCGCCACGTGCACGCATACAGGATTTGT